CGGCCTTGTGCCGGGTGGGGACCTGCGCCCAGGTAGGGGGAGCTTTGATCCCCGCGCCCTTCTAGGCCCGGGCTGGGGTCCCTCGCCGGCCGTGCTGCAGCAGTGCCCGTGGGATGTGGGTTCCATTTGGAGAGGTGGCTGAGATCCCAGTGCGGGACCTCCTGGGCCAGCTCCACTGTTGGGATCCGGGGAGGTCCCTGCCGCTGGAGGCCGTGCACGTGCTGGTGGGAGACATTTCCTTTGAGATGTGATGTCTGTTAAACTTCTTTTTTCATTCTTACTCATTATCTGTCTTTCCTTCCTTTTTACTAGAAACACCAGCTTTCTTCTGTGGAGGGTGCACAGCCATAGTCTTGATTTCCTGGATCTGGTAACATGGCAAAAGATGTAAGTATCTTTGCTTCATGCTGCAGATGAAGGTTAGCATAACACTCGTTCTTTGTATCTTTCTGCCTTTGTTTCAGAGTGGCAGCAGGAGCCCCAGCCCTGTTTGTGTTCAGACTTTTTAGATGCGGGAGAAGGGTGGAGGGGAAGGAAGAAGAGAGCTGGGTAGGCGTCCTTACCCTGCCCTGTGCTCTTTGTCCCCAAGGCCTCGCTGCACACTGCTGGGCTCTTGGGCGCTGCTGCTTTGGTTTTTAGTTTCTCCAGACTGTGTTACATGTAGACTTTCGTGACCACCCGAGTTACCTAGGGTAGAGGGGCTTTACAGGCCTTAAGTCCCTTTCCAAGGGAGGCTTCTACTTGGGAGGTCTGGTTATATGGGATGACCTGGAAGTCAGGCCGCACCTGTTTGTATGTCCTGGAGGACCAGAATCCGGCTCTGACAGATACAACACTAACTGCTTTTCTCTCTCAGAGGACATTTGCTGATTATTGAGATGGAGTGGAAAATGGGAGTGCACTTAGCTTTGTCTTTGTGCTAAAGACGTTTTTTAACTGAACTGAGGAAATAGGCTTTTTGGGCAATCATGCTGTTGGCTGTGTAGTTCATGACACCATCCTTAGTGTTCCTTAGAATGCAGTGTTTAGAAACATTAATGAAAAGAGGCGATTTTTTGTTTACATGTTGACTGTGCAGCCTTGGAAATATAGGCCAGGCTGCTGCATCGGACAGAGGCCCACAATGTGTGGCAGGACTGTACCTGCAGTATGCAGCCATGCTCCTGTCAGTCTCTGAAGCAGGTGGATGGGAAGGTCCACAATGCCATTGCCTCCCTGCTGTCAAGCATGGGGCTGTGCCAGACTGGTGTGTAACCCAGGGGCCTGCCCGGTTTATCAGTCGATGGCTCTGCCTTCCTTTCATAGGCATGCCCTTGTAGGATGCAGGGGCAGCTGGATTTGCTAAGTAGGCCTGAGAAAGGAGTGCCACTCTGAGCCGTGTTTCTGGTGGTATGTGGTTCCAGGGCATGGTGCCTTTCCACGTGGTGAAGTACACCCTGCTGCTTCACTGGTGTGGCTCCAGAGCCTCTGGTGCTGTGCTTGGGCATGTGAGTTGGGGGTTGGGCTCTGCATCTGGTGGCAGGAGGAGGGCCAATACCCTCCTGTTGCGGTCTCCTGTTGGGCTACAGCATCTGGGAGTGGAAGGCTGGCTGGTGCTGGTGTGGGGTGCCCCGGGCTGGTTTTGGGTCGTGCACTGTGGCATCCTGGGTGGGAGTCAGGGCCCTGCAGGTTGGAATGTGCCAGGCAGAGGTAGAGGGGAGCAGCCCCTCCCCCATGTTGAGGGTGAGTGTGCAGACATGAGGAAGGTGGCTGAGTTGAGGGTGGAGTTTTTCTCCAGCCAATCCATTTTCTAAAAGTGAGGGTGTGACATTGGAACTTCAGAAAGAGGTTTGTGTACCCTGTGCTGGAAAGCCAATGATGGCAAACCTTTTAGAGCTTTCAATAGCTGTGGCAGCCATGCCATAGGTTCCCCACCACTGTCCTAAACAGTGGCATTCAGATGAATCTGACTGTAAAGCAATGCCTGTGTCAGGGCACCAAGTCCCCTGGGCTGATGAGGGAGGGCAGAGACTCCAGCTGTGCAGACCCTGGCTGCCATGGAAGGCCACGAAGAGAACAGGGGGCACTCCAGGCTCCGCATTCTCCATGGAAGAGGACAGCCAAGGGCCGCACGAGGGCCGGCTGGAGCCCCCGGGTCTGGCGGAGGCCCTATGGGGCTGTGCACCCGTCAGTGAGAGGTGGGCAAGGGGCAGCGGGTGTTGGTGGGTCAGCCTGGTGGGTCTCTGCTCTGAGAGGAGGAGAGGAAAGGTGGCTCCTGAGGACATGGGGTAGGGGTGGAGGCCTCTAGGGCTGTATCCAGTGATACTCCTGGGTGCTCGCTCAGGGTGCTCTGTGAGCAGGTGACACCATGGTGCATATTCAGAAAACCTGAAGACATGGCACTCCTCTGAGTGTGCATGGGCATTTTCCTTGTCTTTCTGCCTAGTGCAGTATAACAGGCATTCACAGAGTATCTGTGTCAAAGTAGGCATTGCATGTCACTGAGAGAGGATCTGAGCTGCATGGGAGGATGTGTGGGGTCCTGTGCAGACGCTGGCCTTTAGGGACTTCGGCAGGTGGGTGCTGAGGGCTGCTGCCTGCTCTGGTGGGCGAGTGAGGGCTCATGAGCTCTCTGCCTCTGGGTGAGTTAGTGCCCAGCATGTGCCCCGTGTCCCTTGCCTTGAAGCTGCCATGTGTTGCCAGCTTGTATCCTGAGGGTTTAAGGAAAATCCCTAAATTTAACTGTCAGCAGCTGGAAACTAAAGGGAAGTGCCTCCGATCCCCTTAGCTGTTGAGTGGGGCCGCCACAGGGTGTTGTCTAGTGCCAGCCCCTGACCTTATCTAAAAATATTCACAAAACATCACCTGCTGGACAGGGCAGAGAGGCCTGGTGCAGCAGCCACTCCCCTGCCATGTCCTGAAGTGGTGGAAGAGCTGAGAGGGAGGTCCCCAGGAAAGACCACCCTAGGGTATCAGGGACTCAGCCCACGGCATGGGCAGTTCAAGTGAATGACATGTTTGTAGTCCCACGAGCATCCTGGGTCCAGCTTGGTTTTTATGCACAGGGAATGTAGTTGAGAAAACAGGGATAATGGGAAAAGTGAGGGAATTTTAGCACAGTGGAAAACGTCTTGCTTTGGAAGGAGGCTGAGAAGTGCACTTGTTATGAGCTCAGAAGTTAACATGGGTGTCTTTTCGCCACCTCAACTTATTTTTATTTGCCTTGTTGGGGTTGAACCCAAGGCCTTGTTCATGCTGAGCTTTCTCTTGCAATGAGCCACACACAGCCCTGCTCTTTCCCCTGCTGCTTGGAGCGTGGTCTCAGTTGCATACAGCTGTGTTCTGCACAGTTGGCGCTGACGCCCACCTGGCTGTCAAGACCATTCGTTAGATAGGCCTTTGTCTGCGGACTGAAAGCCTTCTTGACAAACTGTCCACTCATTGAGTCTGTGCATAAGCCATCCAGTAATATCTGGTTCTGGTTTCTGTGGAATGGATGGACAAGGAAAACCCATTTGGAAATTCCTTGACTGAACATGGCCCTCTAGGTTAGCCACGCATGATCCCAGACCTTTAGTAACAGAGACGACCGGTGGAAGTGGGGTTGAGCAGGGTGTGGTAGAAGCCCCTGCACCTACTGCTGGGCTTCCGGAGCAGGTGTGTGATTGTCCAATCCAGGGAGCCCTGTGGGCATGGGCTCTTGGTGGGAGGAGGAGAGGCTCTCCTGCTATGTGTACCTGGTGTGCCATTGTGGATTTCCCTGGTTGTAAATTAAGTCTCTTAAATTTGCACAAACCTGAAGTGACCCTTAGGATGAATCCCAGAGGTGCACAGCCACACACTGACTTTGGGATTGCTGTGAGGTGGCCCTCAGGCTGTCAGGTGGAGAGGAGTGCCTGCTGTAGCATCCTTCTCCAGGGGATTGAGTGTGACAGTTGACGTTTCAGTCTTTCTGTTAGTCGTGTTTGCAATACATAATGATCACATTCCTCAAGCAAGGTTGGTTATGTACATAACGCGTTTCAATTCTTTCATCCCCTTTCCCTCCCTTCTGCCTCCATCCTTCCATCTCTTGGTCCCCTTTCCCACTTGCAAAGGATCTATTTCTGTTTCCTATCTATCTCTTATTTTGCTCTTTATTTATATTTCGGGTTTCTCATACAATAAAAACCAGTTTGATATTTAAGCTCATGTGTCTGATTTATTTCACTTAGCACTGTGTTCTCAAGATGCATCCATTTCCCCCCAGATGACTCAAGTTCATCCTTCTTTATGGCAGAGTAGTGCTCCATTGTGTGTGAATACATTTTCTTTATCCAGTTATTTGTTAATGGACATATAGGCTGCTTCCAGATTTAGCTGTGAGTTGTGCTACTATAAACACGAGTGTGCATACATCACTGTACTGTGATTGTGTTTTCAAGTATAACAATTTTAAAACCCAAGAAACTTGCTCAGTGTGACAGGTGAAAGTTTATGGTATGTTTGCTGAGCTGGTGTTGGAACCAGGGCTTGTGTGTGCTGGGCAGGTGCTATACCATGGAGCTCACCCCGTGCCCCTGCGAGGTGAAATTTTAAAATGCACCTTCAGTTTGCGTCTTTACAATTCAGAGTGAGCACTTTCCTTTCTGGGCACTGCATTTCTTGGTGAAGTGATGAACGTGCCCTATCATTTCTGTTTGTCTGTTTCCTGTCAGTTTGCATCGCCTGGACTTTCTACGAACCTTAAATTTAATGTGGGTGGTTTTTACCTTAGTTGCTTTCCCTTCCTCTGGCTGATTGTGTGTTTGCTTCTCCAGCTGCACCACTGAGACCTTGGAGGTCCAGGCTCGCAGGGCTGGATGCTGGGACCCTGGGTGGGGTACCTCCTGGCAGGCCTTCCCTGTTGTCAGGTTGCATTTTTTTTTCTCCACTTAACTGAATTGCTGCCTTGGAGTGGCTGGTATAGGTCTTATTTTTGCCTCTTGTTTGTTTGCTTTTTAGAAATCTCAAGTGTTTGGCTTGTGCTGGAGATAGACCAGGGTCTCCTGTGTGCTCAGCCTGGGCTCAGCCCTTGGGCCACCATACTGCGGATTCAAGCCAAGACACCTTATGCCACATCTGCGGTGACCCTCAGTTATGCTTTGCAGGGGAATGGAGAGGGTCGTGTGCACAGCCAGCACCCCATGGCCACTCTGTCTCTGCAGCTGAGGCTGGGGCCCACTGCAATGTTGTCCCTGACTTTGGCCCGGTCTGCTTTTAGATCAATCCACTTATTCCTGGAGATGATTATTATGTTAGAGCTTGCTTAGAAAGTCTGTCCTTCTTACCGTTGCCACCCTGTTTGAAACCATGAGCAGTGTGAGAGACACATACTGCCTCATGTCATCTACACCGGCAGCCGAGCATCAGTGTTCTTATTGAAGTCT